CCTCTTTTAAGTTCCAAGTCCATTCATTTAGAAAAGAATATATCTTTGTAAATGTTGAAGATCTTTTATTTTTTTCCCAGATGTTAGAGAGAGGAAAGTTAAAGGAGCCTTCTGGAATCATACATTTACATAGATAAAACCTTGGCCAAATATTTTTCAAAGGCAGGAGGCAGCACAAGTGTCCTTCTGTCTGTAACAAGTATGGATGTAATGTGTTGGGGTTTCAGAGTATACTGCAGTGTAGCAAAGCAATTTTCAGTACAATTTATTATCCTATGTACTAGCCCTGCCTAATAAAGCAAAGAAAACTTTTCAATGATGACTGTTTGGACAGCTCAAGGGTCTGAGTTTGGGTTGAATTAATTTCCCCAGATGGAACCCTAGGAAATTTGAAACTTGATTAAAAATAGCTTGCACATAAGTATAGACAAACAAAAGACATTTGAGGCCAAAAAAAAGTGCATGTTAAACTTTCCCTGGGTAGTGTTCAATTACTATACCATTTTTTCAGGTTTTTAAAAATTAAATAACAACTAAAATCCTACCCTTACTCCATTAAAATCAGTAATAGCTCTAATATCTGATATTATTTGACTACTTTTAAGGGCCTATTTAGCATAATTCTGGTTGTACTGGGAATGTTTCTTATGCTATGTAAGAGTAGGTAGACAGTATGATGGATTGAAATTTTTATATTTAAATTCCTTCATTCTTTATTTCTGAAGCAGTATTAAGCATTGCCTTCCTTTGTACTGCTGTGCTAGAGAATTCATTTAGAATGTCGGCTACATATCCATTGATATGCCTTGTAAAATATACGTACTTTGTAAACCCTGAGATTCTCTCTCTTCTACAATACTGCCTTAGCAGAGCTCAGATAATAGGAAGGCTTTTAAAAAGTAATTAGACATATTATTCACTTCTCTATGACTAAAGAAAACATGTGAGGAGAACTGTCTCAACCTAGAAGACTTTAGTTAAAATAAACAAATCTCTTATTGTTTTGAGAGCTATCTCACAAATGCTGCTGTCCTGCTTGGCAAGCAGTTACTACATTCAGAATCTAAAATGGCACAGCAGTGATGTACTTAGGGAATAACTTATGACTCAAATGTTCACAGGGTGGCAAGATTCCTATCCGGTGGACTGCGCCAGAAGCAATTGCCTATCGTAAATTCACATCAGCAAGTGATGTATGGAGCTATGGAATCGTTATGTGGGAAGTGATGTCGTATGGAGAGAGACCGTATTGGGATATGTCCAATCAAGATGTAAGTCCCTATATTCAGAAATATGTATATTTACACTGAGTGTCAGGAAGCTCTGTATCATTGTATGATGGAGTGAGAGTTGGGTTTGAAATGACACATTGAATTCAAGGATCTTAGTACTATGTCTAGTAGTCTAGTTCAACATTGTAACCAACAATGACCATAGATTTCAAGGGCCAAAATTAGATGGCCTACATGATACGTAGTATGGGACATAGATGCATTGATTGGTAGATAAACAATATGGAATAGTATTTTTTGCTTGGTGAACTTTCAAAATCGTACTGAAAATTAAACTTTGTATTTTAACAAAATGCATAGATTATGAAGAAAAAAAGTTCACATGTGATAAAATTGACATGAAAAGTTTATTGAAAGAAAACTAGGGAATATTTTAAAGCTGGCATAGTTGTAATTAGAGCTTGCCCCTTGAGGACTCTAAAATAAAGCTTCACTAAATGACCCTTTGTAAATTATGCACATCCCTTTAAATGTACCATCTGGACCACATCGTAAGGGAGTATCCACAATGCCTGCAATTTCAGAAAAGCATTCAATAATGACACTAATAAGATTCCAGAGTAATAGAATTTAATTACGAACATCTCCAGCGAGAAAGAATAAAACAAAACAAAACAAAACCAAAAAAAGCTCTCTAGATCAAGGGGTCTTCCTAGAACACATCTTAGCTAATTTTGGAAAAGTTTTAGTTAGTTCTGGAAGGATTGGAAATCATATCCAAATTAAATGGCCACTTATACTTTTTGTACTTTCCTAATTTTCTTATGTGTGAGCTAAAACATTATCAGAGAGTGTTGACAAATGCACGGTATTCAGTTTATCAATTAGAATTATATATTGGAGAGTCTTCTTTTCAGAAATTCTCTCTGTTACCCAACCATCTGTCTTGTCCTCCTGAAACAACAGGAATTTGCAAAGCCTTGACAGTTCAAGGAAGAACTAGGTGTACTTAAGAAATAGGATGCAGTTTGCCTTATCAATAAAACGATGTGCAAGGCAATAGAAAAACTAATGTACTCCATGTCTAGTGTGGCAAAAAAAAAAATCCCTTTTCCCCAGATTAAAGGGAATGGTAGTGTTGACAATGTATTATCTGTAAATTATAAAGGAAGATTCACAGCAGATGGGGAGAAAGACAGCAGCTAGCATAAGTAATAGATAATTACAGGCTGAAATAAGACGGCAGAGGTGAATGGTGTGTAATCTATTGTCTAATGTGATTATGCTATGCAGACACCTTCAAGTAGCTTCTTGTAACAACATTTGGATTCAGGTTAGAGACTCTCAGAGGGACCAATAACCTAAATGAGCAAGTGGTGCACATGTTTACTTATTTACTGTAATTATTTGATACTTAAGCCCTCCTTTACTTCAGTTGAGAGTCGTAGCCAAATGTTCATAAGAGCAGAGTATCTAAAAGTGTGTATTTTTTCACCCTAAATATTTTCAGACGTTTAATTTTTACAGTGTCCATATATATAAACCAATTTTGTTGTTTTAAACTTTCAGTTGTCTCACTTTATCCATGAGAAACCATCTGAAGCTATTTCTTGATCACAAATAATATTGATCTATCGTTTGTCTCTGTGTTGGATTCTGTGTAGAACAGGAATCGCCAGGAAATGTATTGGGAGAATTACTTTCATGAGCAGAATTCATTTTTGGCATATGGTAAATGGAGTGAAAGTAACTGTTGAAAATATGTCAGATTTAGCAAGTTTTTTGTTTGTTTTCATCCTCTGCCCCCCAAAAATACTCAGCAGTAAACTGAGAAAATATGCTTTGTTAACCCCCGAGTCGTCTTCCAAGCTGGCAGCAGATAGGGAATTTATGAAAGAGTATTAGTCAGTCTGAGGGGTATAAGGAATCTTACCACCCTCGCATCAGCCCAGTGTTGCTCGCGTTCTCATGGATTCGATGGAAAATGTTTCCATCGAGTCCAGAGTCAACATCATGCACCTGGAAAGGTAAACTGACCCAGTGTAATTGCTGGAAATAAATAGAATAAGGTTCAGTAAGACAGCATAGAGAAGTCTACCTTAGAAGGAAAAGTAGATAATACTGATAAAACAAGACGTTGGCACAACACGTGAGAGAAAAGGATCAGAGGGCTTCCTACATCACAAGGTGATTTGTGAAACTAAAGCAGTGCACTGATTTAAAAGACCACAGTCCTACTAATCCAGGGAAACTGGACCCAACTGAATTGACTATTTTCTGTTGAAGGCCGACGACTGAGCAGTCAATAGGCCCACTGCAGGGTGAGTCCAGTGTGGTCACTGGGATGGCTGTAACCACTGGTTGATTCACTAGCAACTGTCATTTTGGTAGAAAATAAAAACCAAAATGGACTGATTTAAAACAAATAAAACTTTTTAAAAGCCCAAACAAATAAAATCACCTCTAGAATCTCAGAGGATACCCATAAAAAAAAGCTTATAAGTAAGCAAGAATGTATGAGGTAATTCCCCTCTTTAAATTTGGCATGTGATACCATATTACATTACTGGAATTTACAACCCCAAAAAGGGGGAGTTTAGAGAAAAACCAGTAAAAAATAATGTAATGCTTGTGAAGACAGATTAGAAAAATTAAAATTGGTAGAGAGATCTGTGAACAATTTATTTATGTCTTATTAGGCAGTGACACCACTCTGATAGTCTTGGACAATAAGGCAATTAGCATCTACCATTATGGTGGCCTGCCTTAGATATGTGTAAGGGTCTCCCTTAATATATTGATGCCCTAAAATAAGGGATTTTCTTGCTAACACTTCTTTTTTTTTTAAATCTACTTACTAAACCTTTTACAGGGTCATTTGACAGCCTACAGAGACCAAGAAAGACACACAGAATTAGTGTCTGAGGGTAGAGTCTTCCAAAAGGAAAAATGGCTAAGCATCGTCTGAAAGTGGGATGTGATGTGAACCCCACTAGCTGTCTGAGCAAGAGGACATAGGTTTAAAATGATGCAAAGGGAATTCCATTTTGCAGACAACCATTAATTGCTTCCTAAGGGAAGTCTTTAGCACTAGGTCAGAGTCTCTTTTGCTAAGAGTGTTCAGGTGTTCTGGTGCTGAACAGCAGGATGGAGAGGGCAGAGGCAGGGCCATGTGATCTCTGAGGACCATGGCCAAAGCTCTGACACCATGTGGTTGATCTACTTGGGCTCTGATCACTTTCAACAGTGATGCATCTTCAACTTTCGAGTTTCAGGTTGGCATTGCTTGCCATTTGAGAACACCTCATAGCAACGGCTGGCTTCCCTCCCCTGTTGCCAGCGATACTCAGGTCCAGCTTTGGCTTCTGTGAAGGAGTTGGAGCTGTTCCCACGCTCAAGCTTGCTGGCAGCTTAATGTGCAAGAAACATGCCAGTCGGGAGGGTTAACCTCGAACAGCAGCTTGCCTGGCAGCTTAACGGACCATCCTGTTGTCTTCCATAGGTGATTAAAGCCATTGAGGAAGGCTATCGGCTACCCCCTCCAATGGACTGCCCCATCGCGCTCCACCAGCTGATGCTAGACTGCTGGCAGAAAGAGAGAAGCGACAGGCCGAAATTTGGGCAGATTGTCAACATGTTGGACAAACTCATCCGCAACCCCAACAGCTTGAAGAGGACAGGGACGGAGAGCTCCCGGTCAGCTATGCTTACTTACTAATGATGTATGAAAGAACACATTAGAGGTGACAGGCAAGCCGTGACTCACTTTAATTCCTGCCTTTTTGTCAGAAGCCACTTCACTGCTTTCTGAAACCTGGGTGGCTTCTTTCTCAATCGGTAGAGTATTTAAGGTAGTTCTAGTCACCATTTTGAAAATCCAATACCTGTCAGGCCTCAAATAGTAGTAAGAAAAAAAAATAGCAACAGCAAAGAAATAATAACATGCTTATTTTATGACGCTGGACCTGAAAATTTAGGAGAGATGAAATGTACTTTTAGAAGATGTTCAGATCAGTAGATGCTCTATTTTGAAAAGGGACAAGAACATTGGAATAGTAAGAAATAGGAAATAAGGGCAGCTCTTTAAGCACTGCAATTTTAAGTTGACTTATAAAGTGTTAATTGTAGCAAGAGATTCATTAGGTTTCAGTTCTTCTGGTTTCCCTTTTCTGAGTCTTTCATAGCAGAAGGAAACAAGGCCAAGATAGAAACTGATCAAGTTACAAAGCATGCAGATGAATGTTTGAGAAGGGTTTTAAAAATCAGAATGATCAGACCACCTGGGAAGGAACAAAATGAAGTGTATTTATTAGTCTATAAAGAACATAAAGATACTGTAAGTTCTATAATTTACCAGGAACGTTTCTGCATGGAGACTGGGCTTTACTGGTATAAGATTCAGACACCTAGATAACGGTCCCATCTGGACCATCCTTATCAATTAAATTATTTACAATGACAGGCATAATAAGACCAGGTGATGCAGGCCTGCACGAGGTGAGCCACCTACTCATCTCCACATCTGAGCTTCTCAAAGGCTTCTCTTTCATCATGACCCTGAGTTAAAAATAGAACATTGGTATTTGGTGCTTCCTCTGTTAGCATAAACCGTTCAGTCTCTAATACCACATAATGTCTGTTTTATACCAAAGTAAAGAACAAATCCAGGTATTGGATACACAATTCTCAAGTCTAAATTGTTCTCACTGATGGTACTTAAATAGCTTTGGTGCTTATTACTGCTTGCTGATAATGAAATGTAGTATAACGTGGTATGTGACTCAGCACAAAATTTGACAAATGTCATAGTGTTCCACAAAGAAAAACACAAAAAAAGCACAAAGACTTCCAGACAAGCTTGAGAATGACCCTTCGAGTTCATTGATATCATTATTTCCATGCAAAGGACATTTTGACTTTGTCAGGCACCTAGAGCCTACATCTTGCCTTGTTAATGCTCCCGAATTATAGTTAGAAGTAAATGCAAACTATTAACAAATATAATTGCTGTACATCCTATACACAATTAAATGTCTAAAATTCTACATGGTAACATTTGTTATTGACTCCAAATTGGGAGAAGAAATTAAATCTTGATTATTGTGCTGTGGACATCTGCAGAATTTACTCAGAAAATTGAATGTAATTGAAATAATGGATATAAGAAAGGTTATGCAGGCAAGGTATTATCTGGACACAAAACTAATAAAACAAGTCTTTAAAAATACTTACATAAAAAAAGAAATAATACAAGTCAAATTAACTTAGGTGAAAAGGAAAATTTTTAAAAATGGAATTGGATCAAATGTAATATGTAGAAAATTAATCAAGGTATTATATTGACTTACTTTTGTTTTTACAAGAAAAGAATCTTTTTTGTTGAAAATTCAGTAGCAATGATATAATTCTGATTTAAATGTTTGTGCTTAAAACATAGTCTCAGGATGAAAAATCAGGTCAAAATGTTAAGATCAAACACATTCTGTAATTTTTAGGGAAAAGGTACGTTCAAGGAAATATAACTTAACAAGTAGTAGTGTTGCTCTATAGGTAATTATAGCAAAGGTGGTATAAGAGACCCCTGTAAAGTTCTTTCCTATGATGAGTAAGTAGTTTGATGATGAAGACGACTGTAATTCTCTTCATACATACTTTATATCAACGTGATTTATTGTATGTCACGATCATTAGGAATGGCAGAGTTCTTGCCTGGAGATGCTCTTGATAGTGACCTAATATAAAACACCTGGCCTGAGAAATGAGTAAACTAATAAATAAGTTAATAAGAAGTGCTTTGAATTTGTTGAAATCATTATTTAGGAGCCCCAGCAAGGGAATACGAGAAGCACATTCCACAACCCAAACAGTGATCAAAGTGGCCATTCTTTCTGCCAGCCTTGGCACACGTGCTGGTCAGGCATGGGTTCATTAAAGAGGGGATTAACTCCCTGCTGTCCCAGGTTTGTTTGAATGCACTGAGCCTGCCTGAAGACCTGGCTGGGAGCATGCTGGACCTGAATTCTTGCTGCTTTCTCTGCTTCCATCCAGTCTGGCAGGTTGCAAACTCCCAGTTTTCCTTACTCATACTTCACTAAGGTTTCCATAGTTGCCGAACTAAAGTCTGTGATATTCAGTGCTGGCAGGGACTGAATTCCTTCCGTAAAGACGCAAAGACGTAACAGGTTTCAGCCACAAGGGCTCCCCCTATCCTCACCCCAGGCTCAGATGTTAAAAGACCTGCTATGCGCATTAGTGCACTAAGAGGTTCACGTAAAACAAATGCAGGAAATGGAATTAAGAAAAAAAATAGGGTGATTGATGCATGCTTTAGCAGCTTTGTGAAATTAAAAGCAAAAAAGAAAAAAAATCGCATGGTTACATTTAACAATGGTTATTCCATTTGAAACCTTCTCCTCCTAGTTTTTCAGCTCCTCTCGCCCATCTTAGGCAGCCTGACTTCTGAGTCTTCCTGTCTTACGGATAGCTGATGTCTGTTTATACTTTCTTGTTCCATCTCCAGACCTAACACTGCCTTGTTGGATCCAAGCTCCCCCGAATTCTCTGCAGTGGTATCAGTGGGCGATTGGCTCCAGGCCATTAAAATGGACCGATATAAGGATAACTTCACAGCTGCTGGTTATACCACACTAGAGGCTGTGGTGCACATGAACCAGGAGTAAGTACTCAGCGATGTAACACAAAAGGGTAAATCCAGATTTAATAGTATTTTCCTTTTTTGCTTTGAGCTGCATAATCATCCTACTCATTTTTTTAAAAAATAAGAAAACTGGAATGCCTCTCATTTTGATTGAATATAATTTTACACAGCCTCTACAAAGCACCTACATTGTTGCATTAATTAAACATGTTTAATACACCTGCCTTGTTGTGCTGTATTAATTGTGGCTGATTCAAATGTGTGTCTGCATGAAGCCTAGAAAGACAGATTCTCAGCCCCCATGACTTTCTCTCTTCCTCTTTTGTCGCCCTCTGTACAGTGACCTGGCAAGAATTGGCATCACGGCCCTCACGCACCAGAACAAGATTTTGAGCAGCGTCCAGGCGATGCGAACCCAAATGCAGCAGATGCACGGCAGGATGGTTCCTGTCTGAGCCAGTACTGAATAAACTCAAAACTCTTGAAATTAGTTTACCTCATCCATGCACTTTAATTGAAGAACTGCACTTTTTTTACTTCGTCTTCGCCCTCTGAAATTAAAGGAAAAAAAAAATATCTGCAGCATTGCTTGGTGTACAGATTGCTGAAACCGTGGGGCTTACAGAAATGACAGCCGGTCATTTGAATTAGACCTGGAACAAATTCTTTCTCGGAAGTACGCTGTCCATCACCCGTCTGTAAAATACATGTACCTATAGAGATAGAACACTGCCTCCGAGTTTTGATGCTGTATTTGCTGCCAGACACTGAGCTTCTCTGAGACATCTCTGATCCTCTCTCCATTTGGAATTACAACCATAGTATTTTGTTTGTGGCATAAATTACAGTCATCTCTCTTTCACTGGAATGAAGACCATGCCCAGGAACATTTTTGAAGGATCCCATTGTGGCTTTTAGGGCTTGGTTCATACCGTGGAAAAAAATGTTGGTGAAAACCACACGGCTCATCAGTGTTGCCACCTCAGTGGTCAGGCCACCTGGTGGATTCTTATACTATGACATGGGGGGCTGGAAAGAAAAAGAAAGTGGATTAAAAAAAAAAAAATTCAAAAACCCAAGCCCCATAACCCTTAACTGGACAAATGAGGTCTGTTTCTTTGGGCCTGAGGCTGGCTGTGCCATACAAAGTCTTATTTTGGGACTCTACGAACTTGTCGTAACTACCTTATGGATGATGGGCTGTGACAATCTGGACTAGGGAACTTTCACACTTTCCTCCTTTAAAGAAGCAACTCCACATCTACCAGGTGAGTCAAAAGGACCAGCAATGAATCTTTCTCCCATGAAAACTTTGTTTTTTGTCTTATTTTTAAACTTGATCTCATCTGAAACACTGAACAGAAAATATTCTTTCCCATCTCTCAGGTAGGTTTGGTGTTTTTCAGGATTTTAGTCCTTTTTTGTCAATGGGAGAAGAAACTAAAAACAGCATGGCTCCCTCCTGCTGTCCTTCCAGGAAGAGGGAAATATGAACTGTCTGAGGGAAGGTTCCCAGGATGGGTCCTAGACCCCACCGCCTGTACTTTCCCTCTCGAAGGCCTCCCTCCACCTGTCCTTTGGGGCCATTCATTGGTGCCACACACATTTACTGAGTGTCTTCTAGATACCAGGTAGTGACCTCAGGACACTTTCTGTCTCCCCTCATTGAGTCATGTGCCCCATCTTTTGTAGAATTTGCTTCAGTTGAGAAGTCCTGCGGAGTCATTTCCATTAGCCTCACTTTCTGTCCTGCTTCAGTAACCTCTGTACCAAATAGGATCAGCCAGAGAGGATTGACCAAGATGTCAATGGTGAGGCTTTGGAACTCACCTTGACTTCCTCATTATCAGAAAGTGATCTACTGAAAAATGTGCTTTTCATCCATAAGCCTATTAACTTTCAATGCTTCGATTTTGTGTCCCAGAATTTTTTTATTGAAATAAGTTGAATTAAATGGCTTTGTTCATTCCTAAAAGCAAAAGGCCTAACTTTAGACTGGACAAATTTTGACTTTTTTTTCTTTTAAAAATCTATTCCATTTTTATCACTTTTAAACAAGAGCTTGGGTGGTTTTAATGGCCTTTCCCCCCTGTGGCCAGTTTTATCCTGAAAGCTATTTCTTATAGAGAAAGAAATGTTAAATTTGATGCTGTCAAATCATGACAGTTTAGGAAAAACCTTTTTTGCAACATTAGTTTTAAAAGCTTTTCTGTTCAGAAGGAACGTGAAAATTCATTTTTAAAATACTCCAACAATTTTTGTTTTACCACCACTTTTGCTAAAGTCTAAGAGTCCCGGATATTCATGTTAAGAGTTGACAAATGTAAGTTTTGGGGGTTTGTTTGTTTTTTTTTTTTTTTTTGCTTGCTTGCTTTCTAAAAGATTTTACTGTTTATTTTTTATTCAGCGAAGCTGTAGAATATTTTTTTTTTCACCACCGCAGTCCAATTCCAATAAGATAGCATTATGTCGTTATATTTTAAGTAAAAACAGAATGTTATCTTGTATACATTGAATAATTAAAAGTTTTGTTTTAAGTTAACAACTTAAGCTATTTTTCTAAACATTGAACATATTCAAAGCAGAACATTTCAAAAGCAAGAGTGTGTCAATTCTAAAATATGCTAACAAATTAGCAATATATACTAAGCTGGAGTCGTTTTGCTACTGCTCAGCAGGTGTCTGTAAATGAAATAATCAGGAAAGGATTGAAAGAAAGTTGGAGTATGAAATCTTATCCCATTCAAAGGTCGGTCACCTTCTGAACCTTAGCAATCTTAATATATGCATGTGTCAAGGCCAATGGAATGGCCAAAAAAGAACTTTCCAAGTGTCTAAACTAATATCTGGCAGCAGGGAAAGTGTTAACTATCGCCATTGAAGTTTGAGACGAGAAATGTAAGAACAATAGGAATGCTGCATTGTTTCCCAGGGCGTGGAGCCAGACTCCTGGCATCTAGACAGCTATGGATTCTAAAGCCAAATGAAATGTTGACACTGGGAAATTCACTCCACTTTTCTTTATAATTCAGTTCCTCCACCTGTAAATTAGAGAGATAATGATACCTTAATAATAACACCTTTCCTAATGCATGGTGTTGTTGTTGCAAGCATGTATGAAATATTCTTATGTAAAACACAGTGAGCTCCACAGAAGAAAGGTGCACTTCTTCCTCCAACATTGTCCGAGTGTTATTCATCTCTTTCACTTGTGATCCCAAACGTTTTATTACAACACACCAGAGAAGGGTGAAATGAAGTTCAGTAGTAGGCAGTCATGCGCATGAAGCATCTTCACTTTAAGTGGATTTATGAGAGTTTAGGGGTAAATGTACAACTGTACAAAAGGTGGCAGACCTATCAAATTACTCCTGGCAGGATAAATGTACATTATTTAGCCTTGACGTTTATGAAATTATTATTTTTTAATGGAAAGGCAGTGATATGCACAAGTAAAACTCTATTGCAATGAAAAGAACTAGATGGTAAAGACATTTTGATGTCTTCATGACTGATTCCAAGAAACAATGCTTTCTCCAGTCACAACGAATTCTCTAACTCATGACTCCACATGGACCACATGCTTTGCCTGATCTCTGTTTCAGAAATTCCCCATGATAAAGGAGTTGCCTGAATTCAAAGCGGAGGAGAAGGTTTATTTTTCTCAGTTCTTGTTCTGGCGTTAACTAGATAGAAGTTTTCACATCCTCACACTTCTCACTTCCAGCACCCAATCATTTTCACATACACACCAAGTCCTTAAATTGCCCACTTACTATTTCACTTATATTTATATAATATATATTGATATCCAGATATTAACTGAATAAGAGGGTTGGCAGAATGCAAGGGGACAAACGTGACTACGAGACCACTCTTTCTCCTCATTTGGCTTTAGAATCCATAGCTGTCCTCTAGGGATGGAAGTGCTAGCAGCAAAAGAAACTCACCATCAACAAGGTTGTGTATCCACATGGTGTTGGATATACTCCAGAGTTTTAAGATCACATTCATGTTCTCCTCGTCCTTCACATAAGTACATGGCACTTCATGAAATCCCTGCACATTCAGGTTTGACAAACTACATTTGATGGACTTGCTAATTTTCAGAGAGGAAACAGTTGGAAAAAATATATCTGATTGCTTTTCTTTCATTTTATCATAATTGTCAAAATGAACAGCCTTAGTGCTGATGAGTGGCTTCTTGAAGATATTGGTGGTTATACCAAAACTCCCATTTATAATTTTAAATTGCTTAAAAATAATTTATATCTGAATAATTTATGAGAAAATTTTTATTTCCATCTCTCCAAATAGACTAAAGGGTTTTCTACAAATATGGTCACTTAACCTCAAATTAAATTTTATTTATTCTTCCCTACACAATAAACACATACATACACAGAACAAACAAGGAAGTGGTTTGATAAAATAAGCAAAATCATCTGTAAAGTGCATTTTGGTCTCCATCCATGCTCTACCCTTGGAGGCCACCAACTGCTATACATGGCCATAGCGGTGGGAGGTAGAGTCCAAGGAGCAATCTTGGTTGTCAGTTGTCACAAATGAAAGAAGGGAAATTGCTTCTTTGGGTTTGAGTTGATTGCTCAACAAATAAGAGGACAATGAGGAGCCATGATGATGCCATTGCTTTTGCCAGCCTTGTTCGATGCTGGCCTGATGTCTGGAATTCTAGGCTGTGGCTGATTAGTTCTTGGTATACCAAGGGAGGCTGCAGCCCAGAAGACCCCATCCCTGGCATAGTAAGTCTCTCGGTCTGCCCCTGGCCCCAGGTTCCCTCCTTCCTGCCTGTTTACATGCAGATTGTGTGGCTCCTTCAATAAATTAGACAGTCTCATTTATCAAAAGTCATTTTCTTTTTAAGAAAAATATCCAATGCTTTCTATTTCTTAATTTGCATTTTGTTCAATCATTATGGTTGACTATGGGTGGATTGTGAACCGAAACAAGCCAGGATTTTCATTTCAAAGAGAGGTGGTTCCAAAGAGAGATTAAAGCGTGGCTATGAACTCAGACTTCAGTGGTTTTAATATCAGCTTTGCCACTTCCGACTGCGTGGCATTGGGCAGCTAACTCGGTCTCTCTGTGCTTCAGCTTCCCCCACCATGTGATGGGGAGAATAGTACCTATCTCAGTTGTTGTGATTAATCTGCTAATAATTTTTTGTTGTTGTTGTTTTAATTGCTCTTTTTCGGAGGAGGAAAGTAACCATTTTTGCTCTTCCTCCTGAACTACTTTTACTGGGCCATACCAACTTCTAGGAACCTACGTTCTTTCTCACAATAGTGTTTGACAACTGGCTGGCAATATCGGCTGACGTCTTGTCTAACGTCTTATTCTTTTCTCCGCAGGGAATAGATTCTGCTATCTTGGCCTCACAGCCCTTCCTGTTGATTACAAAGCCCTTGGAAGAAAACAGAACACACCCTCCTCCGTTCCATC